TTTTGGTCCTACATTAGTTTGCTTACGACGCATTTTTACGTATGAAAATATAGGGTGTAACAATCTTATTCACGAGCCGTTGATAAGTGGCTTCGGCGTTTTTTAGCCTGAAGGGCATCACATTGTAACAATATATACCAAAACTCATTATAAACGAAGTCTTTTCCTGATCTTCTGGGTTCATCTTGATTTGATTGTACCCAGAATAAGCATTGGGAAAACTCATTAACTCGTGCTCGGTCGTAGCATTAATCATCTGATCGATATTTGGTAATAGGAATCAGTCTTGCGGGCACGTCTTATTAAGATCCTTATAATCTACGCACATACGAAATTTATTATTTTTCTTAGGTACTACTACTACATTGGCTAGCTAGTCCGGATATCTTACCTCTCGGATTGAACCAATCTTAAGTAAATGAGTTACCTCTTCTTTGACGGATTTATTCCTTGCTTTAGAAATAGGGCGTTTCTTCTGCCTTACCGGAGGTATGTTGTGATCCAAGCTTAACTTGTGTACGACTATCTCCGTTGGGATGCCCGTCATATTTTCGTGCGACCATGCAAAATAATCGGCATTGATTTGAAGGAAATCAATAAAAGAAGACATGTGCTCCGGGTGCATGCCTGTTCCCAAATGGAATTTCCTTTCTAGGAATTCTTCGAACAATGCAACCTGCTACAGTTCTTCTGCCGTGGACATCGTCGCATTCGTCTTTTCCGGTATTTGAAAATACCTTGGTACTTGATATTATTCTGACCCTTCTGTCCCCGGATTATCTTCCTTTGGCTCGGGGTCAGGTGCCGATTCTGGTAATTGCTATGCCGCATGTTCCTTTCCTTTGCTACTGGAAACCAAAATTGCACTCATCTCCCTTTCTGCCGGTTGATCACCCCTTATCTGTTTGATCCCCTCGGGTGTCGGAAACTTTAACAGTTGGTGATATGTTGAAGGCACAGCTTTCATCTCGTGCAGCCATGGTCTTCCCAAGATGATATTATATCCCATGTCTCCATCTACCACTTCGAAGAGAGTTGTCTTCATATCTCCCTCAGCGTTCGTGAGCAGTAAAATTTCTCCCCGAGTTGTCACGCTTGCGAGGTTGAATCCAGTGAGGAGTTTTGTTTCTGGGATAATGCTTCTGGTGAGTTTAGCTTGCTCCATTACTCTCCATTGTATGATATTAGTGGAACTTCCTGGATCTACTAAAATACGTTTAATTTTAAAATCCAACACATTTAAAGAAATTACCAGTGCATCATTGTGCGACAGCAGTAATCCGTCTGCATCTTCATCCGTGAATGCGATATTGTCTTTTCGGAACCTTTTACTATGAGTTATCGATACTTTTGTCTTCTTTTCTACCGAAAAGGTGACCCCGTTAATTTCATTCCCTCCGAAGATCATGTTGATCATTTGGCATGGAGGTTCTTCTCCTTCTTTCGAGGTTTCAGTGCCGCCTCTGCTCCGACCATAATTGTTTTTAGCTCGGTCACTCAAGAATTCTCTGAGGTGACCATTCTTTAATAGTGTTGCCACTTCTTCCCGGAGGTGTCGGCAGTCCCAAGTCCGGTGGCTGTTAGTGCCATGGTATTCACACCATAAATTGGGATACCTCTGACTGGGATCGAATTTCATAGGTCTTGGGAATTGTGCCTCTTTGATATTCCTCATGGCCGACACCAACTCTACTACACTGATATTGAAGTTACACTCTCATAACTTTGGGTAAGAAGAATCTCGCGACCCCCAGATTTCTTTATTCTGCAGCGATCTGTTGTTCTGGCCATGATCTGTCCTTCTATTAACGGTGAACTTGTCTGATGTCCGAAAACTCCTGTCGCAGCCTTCTCTCCGCTCGTAGGGCAAAAATCGGCCCCTCAAAGTCCGTCTATCCGTGTCAATATCATCTTTCAATTTTTCTCTGTTCTTCTCCCGTCCTTTGGTCGACTATGGGAAGCCAACCTGATCATCTTCGATCCTTATTTTTGACTCGTACCGGTTGTGGACATCCACCCAAGTCATCACTTGGAACTCGAGCAGACTTTCCTTCAACTTCCGGGAAGCGTCCGAACTTCTCGGATTTAAACCTTTGGTGAATGCTTCAGCTGCCCATTCATCTGGAACCGCTGGTAGTAACATCATTTCCTTCTGGAACCGGGTGATGTACTTTCGTAATAACTCGGACTCTCCCTGCGCTATCCTGAATATGTCGGCCTTTCGGGCCTGCACCTTTCTAGCACCGGCATGAGCCTTGATGAAATAATCTGTGAGCACCTCAAAGGAATCTATGGAATACTCGGGCAATAGTGAATAACACGTTAAATCTCCCCTCGTGAGAGTCTCACCAAATTTCTTCAGCAACACGGACTCAATTTCGTGAGGAGCCAAATCATTTCCTTTCCCTACTATTGTATAAGTGGTAATGTGCTCATGCGGATCTGAAGTTCCATCATACTTCGGCACTTCTGGCATTTTGAATCGCTTCGGGATTAGTTCCGGGGCTGCACTCGGCTTGTACGGTAACTGAATATACTTCTTCGAGTTCGGGCCCTTCAATACTGGTGGTGCGACGAGGATTTGATCCATGGAGGCGTTTACTTCCTTCATGAACCGCAAAAGCTCCTCCTTGAATGGATCGTTATCGTTGTTGAGGCCGGATCTACTCCCCCCGGCCCCATCGGAGCCAACTTCGCCCCTGGGAGTGTTGTTGTCGACGCTCCGCGTCGTTTGGTTTGTGGGAACCTCAGAAGGAAATGGATCTCGCCTGTTCACATTATTTGAAGCATCTGATAGCGCCTGCTTTAGTTCCTTCATAACCTGATCCTTCCGCGTGAGATGGCCTAGAATGATTGCTTGTTGCCCTTGTAGGACCCTCATTGCACCCGCTACATGCTCCTCATCAGCATCATTAGGAGTCCTCTCCCGAACCTGTCGAGGGTATCGCCCGTCATGCGTCGGTGTGTCGTCGTTCTCCTCATTGCGAGTGTCACTGATTGTATCATCGAAATGAGGTTGCTCTCCTTGAATTTCAGGGTTGCGTGTGCCATTAATAGTATTATCTGCCATTTCTTTTGTAATATTTGCTAATAGAAAATTAATCAAACTTGTTAGTAAAAAAGGCAAGGATCAATTTAATTGCACGGCTGTCTAGGCCTCACGGTGGGCGCCAAACTATTTACCCAAAAATGGTACAATTGAATTTGTTCGTGGTTTCTAGACAAGTGAATTAATTTGATCCAAAAAGTAATGAAATAACTCATGAAATATGAAATACTTAGCCTTAGAATGTAGATGAAACAATAGAGATAATGAGTCCGGGAACAAGGTTTCCGAGCACAATAATGATAAGATCAAAAGCGAGAGATTCAAATTGTATTAAAATGTTGTATAGAATGTAACATAAGTTAGCTAGAAAATTCGTGTCCTTACAATGATAATTGAGCTCTCTATTTATAACTATGCCTAGGGAAGGAAGTCCTAGGATCATGCCCTTCTTTAATGTCGATTATGAGGGTCATTGATGAAGATATAACGTTAGACATAAATGCCAAATTTCTTGTAACGGGCCATTATCCTTAATGCTGCAAAATATTCCGTATTAAATATTACCGGGCGCAAAATATTTAATACTCCTTTTATGATCATTATTCCTTCCGGTGATAAGCGAAATAGCTATGTTCGGTGGCCATCTCCATCTTTTGTTCCGCGTATCCTTCCTTTAAGCGGCCATGTGTCATGTCGTATTTTTCCCTATACAGTAATTGACTAGCTTGTTGTTTATTTCCAAAAGGTGCCTTCGGAAATTTCAATTTCTTATATCAATTTATATGATATAATTTGATTCGGCACGAAATTTAGCAAAAGAGTAATAACATTTGAAACTTATCGGCTTAAACATGTCATGACATTTATATGGCTATAAAACTTTTATAACTTATGGTTTTAATTAAACATGATATAACAATTGTGTAGTTGTAAAAGCTTTTCATTAAAGGTACGTAAAATATAAAAAATTGTTAATTGTTTTCAAATATAGAAATATTTGTTTTAATAAAAAGAATTACGTAATAAACAAATTGGAACGGAGGAGGATCACTATACAAATGGAAGTACATATTTTAACCACCCGAATTTGTATTTGTTTTGTTAGATTATCATCAACAGATTTTGGGTTATGGGAGCGGAAAAGCTTGGTCTAAGGGAATACAATGGTGGAAAATCTATCATGACCCGCAAATTACTGTCAATCTACATAACATATTTTTATTTGTTTTTTCAACCTTTCTCCGATCTTATTTAAGCTCTTCGATGATCAAGTTGTGCGTGGAATTTTAGCAAGAGAGAGATAGAGAGAGAGGGGAGAGAGAGAACAGAGTGGAAAGGAATTATTGATTGTCTTCAAATATCTGTTCTTCTCTTGCCTTTGCCTCTTTTCAACAATAATCAACGATGACGTTCGCAGGAACAACGCAAAAGTGCAGTGCTTGTGAGAAAACGGTGTATCTGGTAGATCGCCTTGCTGCTGATAATCGTATTTATCACAAGGCTTGCTTCAGGTGCTACCATTGCAAAAGTACTCTCAAGGTATTAATTATATTCTCAACTTGAACGTTTATACAAGAATCTTGAATCCAAGCCTCTTTCCGGAACAATACATGCAAGGAATAGAATATAT